GAAAATCCTCCCAAAATAATTCTGTTAGAAGGAATGCCATTCTTCACCTCCTGATCTATCAAAGCCTTTATACTTTCTGCTATATGTTTAATTCCAGGTTCATCTTCCTGTGACCTTGGTGACAGCCCAATAATAACAAACCAAGAAAGCATAGCCATGTTCATATTCAATGTCACAGGCATAACTGGTGCCTGCAGGCAGATATATTTCATATCTGAGCTTCTGATACCGCCAAAGGCTTCTGCCCATCTATGCCCAGTATCCCCCAATCCATGAATGAAAATCACCGCAGCAGTGGCCTTCTGGGCAGCAGGCACAATGACAGGTAGCAGAACAGACATGATATTGCCGCACATACATCGGCCCGGCTGACAGTACTTGAGGAAGCCAATGGATTTTTTCTTTAACTAAAGATAAAGTAATTATTAAAATGAAGGCATCTTGATCTCATTCAGGACATCAAAGGTAATGTGACAACAGCTCTACGGCCATTACAGAAAAAGGTTTCAAACACTGCATTGAAAGCTGGACTAGATGCTGGATTTGGTGTAGAGCTTCCCAAAGGGAGTGCTTTGAAAGCAACCTAGTGATTTTAAGCAATGAGGTATGTAGAACTTTCTTCAGGATGAGTTCACAAACTTTTTAAAAATATATTAAGGTAAGGGTATATACAATTAGGTTGCATTGTTTGTGTTTGTAAGGTAAAGTCCCAGTTGTAGTTGAGTCCTTCACCAAGGAGTATGCCATATACCCTACATTGTACCCTACAGATGGGAGCTTACTAATGTCCCTCCCACCTTCCCCCTCCCCTCTTCCCAAATTTGATTGTGTTTTTCTCTCGTACAGGCCTTTATTTGTTGATATATTAGTTTCAAATTAGTAGAGAGTACATGAGATGATTACTTTTCCATTTATGAGGTGCCTTACTATGGAGAATATTCTTCAACTCCATCCAGAAAATATAAAGGATATAAAGCTTCCATCTTTATTATGGTAGAGTAATAGTCCATGGTGTATATATACAGGTATATATACCACAGTTTGTTAATTCTTTCACAATTTGATGGGCAATGGTGTGGTTTCCACATCTTTGTGATTGTAAATTGAGCTTCTATAAACATTTGAGTGCAAATGTCTTTACAGAAAAATAATTATTTTTTCCTTCTTGGTTGATACCTAGTAACGGGAGTGCAGGATCATATGGAAGGTCTACTTTTATATCTTTGAAGATTCTTCTTACTTCTTTCCCAAAAATCTGTATTAGTTTGCAATCCCACCCAACAGTGTATAAATGCACTGTTCTCTCCACACTAACACTAGCATCTGCAGGTTGCAAATTTTGTAATATGGGCTATTCTCACTGTGGTTAGGTGATATCTCAATGTGGTTTTGATTTGAATTTCTCTGATGATTAGGGACAATGAGCATTTCCATGCATTTGTTAGTTATTTGTCTGTCTTCTTGGGAGAAGGTACTAGTCATGTCTCTTGCCTAAGGATTAAAAGCATTGTTGGCTCTTTTCCTGTTCTTTTATTTGAGTTCCTTGTAGATTCTGGTTATTAGCCCTTTGTCAGATTTCTGACATGCGAATATCTTCTCCCATCCTGAAAGTTGTCTATTTGCTTTAGTTATTGTGCTTAGCCATGCAAAAGCTTTTAAGCTTGATCAAGTCTTATTTATTTATTTTTGTCATTGCTCTAATTGCTAAAAGGGTCTTCTTCATGAAAATCTTTCCCCAAGCCAATATCATGAAGAATTTTTTCCACACTTTCTTCTTGAGTTTTTACCATTTTCTGTCTTAGATTTAAATCTCTTATCCAGCATGATTCATTTTATGTACGTGATGAGAAACGTGGGTCTAACTTCAGTCTTTCATATGTGTCTAACCAGTTCTCCCAGAACCATTTATTAAATAGGTAATATTTAATAATCTTTCCCCAGTGTATGCTTTGGTTTGCTTTACTGAAGATTAGATGGTGATATCAGGCTGCTTTCACCTCTTAAGTCCTCAGTTCTGTTTCACAGGTCTCTGTCTCTAATTGTATGCCAATATCATGCTGTTTACATCACTATGACTTGTAGTATAACCTGAAGTCTGGTAATGTGATGCCTATAGATTTCTTTTTATTTTTTTTCGTAGAGTTGCATTGGCTATTCAGTGTTTTTTCTCGTTCCATTCCAAATGAACTAGTGTTTTAAATATTTCAGAGTATGATATTGGTGTTTTAATAGGTATTAGGTTAAGTCTATAGATTGCTTTGAGTAGTTTAGACACCTTAACAATGTTGACTCTTCCCAGCAATGAGCACGGTGTGTTCTTCCATTTATTAGCATCTTCTGCTAATTCTTTTCTCAGGCTTTCATAGCTCTATCCTTAGAGATCCTTTATGTCCTTTGTTAGGTATATTCCCAGGTATTTCATTTTCTTTGAAGCTACTGTGAAAAGAATTGTGTCTTTGATTTCATTCTCAGCTTCATTTCTAATGACATATATGAAGGCTACTGATTTGTGGGCATTGATTTTATATCCCAAGATGTCACTGTACTTCTTGATCACTTCCAGAAGTCTCATGGTTGAGTCCTTTGGATTTCTAGGTATAAGATTATATCGCCTACAAAGAACAATAATTTGACGTCCATTCCCATTTGGATACTGTTTACATCTTTCTCTTGCCTGATTGCATTGCTAGCTCTGTGTTATATACTAGAGGCAAAAGCAGACATCCTTGTCTGATTCTAGTGCTAAGCAGAAATGCTTGCAGTTTTTCTCCTTTCAGTATAATATTGGGTTTGTCATAGATGGCTCCTATCAGATTAAGAAATGTCCCACCAATGCCTATTTTCTTAACTGTTCTTATCAGAAAATGATGCTGAAGTTTGTCAAAAGCTTTTTTTTTACATCTATTGAGAGTATCATATGGTCTTTATTTTTACTTCTGTTTATGTGGTAAATTATGTTTATGGATTTGCTTATGTTAAATCAGTCTTATATTCCTGAGATGAAGCCAACTTGGTCATGATGTATTATTTTTTTATGTACCTGAGTTCTATTTGCTAAGACTTTATTGAGTATTTTTGTGTCAATATTCATTAATGACACTGGTCTATAGTGTTTGTTTGTTTGTTTGTTTTGTTTTGGCCGGGGCTGGATTTGAACCCACCACCTCCAGCATATGAGGCCAGCACCCTTCTCCTTTGAGCCACAGGCGCCGCCCAGGTCTATAGTTTTCTTTTGTTGTTCTTGTTGTAACTGTTGGGTTCTTTCTGGGTTTTCCCATAGGGATGATATTTGCTTCATGGAAGGAGTTGGGCAGGGTTCCTTCCTTCTCCATGTTTTGGAATCGATTCTGTAATATAGATACCAGCTCCTCTTTGAAAGTTTGGTAGAATTCTGGTGTGAAAACATCTGGTCCAAAACTTTTGTTTTTGTTGGGAGCTTTTTCATTATTATTGCAATTTTAGTGCTTGATGTTGGTCTGTTCAGTTCTATTTATTCCTGGTTAAGTCTATAAAAATATTATGATTCCTGGAATTTGCCCATTTCTTTCGTGTTTTCATATTTCTGTACGGAGAGTTTTTGTAGTTTTCAGGCATGATCTTTTGTATCTCTGTGGTATCTGTTGTATTTCCCCTTTTATTGTTTCTGATTAAGCTTATTAGAGAGCTTACTTTGCTGTTTCTCATTAATCTGACCAAGGGTTTGTCAATTCTATTATCTTTTGAATGAACCAACTTTTTGTTTTATTAATCATCCAAATGGTTTATTTTCTTGATTTCATTTACTTCTAATCTAATTTTTGGTTATTTCTTTTCTTTTACTTAGTTTGGGGTTGGATTGCTCTTCTCTATTCGGCTCCTTGAGATGATTCCTTAGGTAGCTGACTTGCACCCTTTTGGTCTTCGGGATGTGGGCATTTAATACAAGGAATTTCCATATTAGGACCTCTTTTGCAGGATCCCACCCTTGTTACAGTTTGCAGCTTCATTATTATTTTGTTCAATAAATCTAATGGTTTCCTTCTTTGTGTAGCAAAAGGCTATTTAGGTTCCATGACTACATGTGGAGATGTGTGTTGCTGTTAGAGGCAAGATCTACTTTAACTCTATTGTAGTCTGTGCAGATACAAGGAAGATATAATTTCTATTTTTTTTAATTTATTGAGGTTTGGATATGATCTATCTTGCAGAATGATCACGAGCTGATAAGAAGAACATATATATATATTCAGTGGTAGTAGTATAAAATGTTCTGTGTATGCCTCTTAAGCCCAATTGATCTAGCATAATGTTTAAGTCCATCATTTCTTTGCTTAGTTTTTCTTTGTTTGTTTTTTGTTTTGTTTTGTTTTATTTTGTTTAAGACAGAGTCTCACTTTGTCACTCTCAGTAGAATGCTCTGGTGCCATAGCTCACAGCAACCTCAAACTCCTGGGCTTCAGCGTTCCTCTTGCCTCAGCATCTCTGGTAGCTGGGACTACAGGCACCTGCCACAACTCCCAGCTATTTTTTAGAGATGGGTTATCACTCTAGCTCAGGCTGGTTTCAAACTCCTAAGCTCAGGCAATCCACCCACCTTGCCCTCCGAAGAGTGGTAGGATTACAGGCATGAGCCACTGTGCCTGGCCATCTGTGCTTAGCTTCTGCTTAGAATTTAACTGTCCAGTTCTGTCCTTGAGCTACTGAAGTCCCTGACAACTTACAGTGTTGTAGGATATCATACTATTCAAATTGAGTAGTGTTTGTTTTATAAATCTGGGGATATTAATTTTGGATGCATAAACATTTAGGATTGAAATGTCCTTTTATTGTATTGTTCCCTTGACCCACACATAGTGACAATCCTTGTCTTTCATTACTTTTGTTACTTTAAAATCCATTGCGCCTGTGAAAAGAAATGCAGTTCCCGCATTCTTGTGCCTTCCATTTGCCTGAGATACTGCTTTCCATCCCTCCACCCTGAGTCTAGATTTGGATAAGAGGTGTTTCCTTAAGGCAGGAAATACTTGGCTTGTTTTTCTTTGTTTGTTTGTTTTTGCTGTTTTTGGCCGGGGCTGGGGTTGAACCCACCATCTCCGGCATATGGGGCTGGCGCCCTACTCCTTTGAACCACAGGCGCCACCCTTGACTTGTATTTTTTAAATAAGTCAACCAGCCTGTGTGTCTTCAGTGTTGAGTTCAGACATTTACATTTACTGAGAAAATTGTAGCAGAGAGTTCTCATCATCTTGTTGTGTGGAGGTCTATTGCCTTGTTTTATCACTTGGGCTATTGTGGAAGCAAGGGTTTGTCTTTTAGTTTCTGAGTGACTTGACTTTATTGGTGGCCCATTGTTTTGGTCTGCATACAGTACTGGTCTGAGTACTTCCTTCACAGCAGTTACAAATTATCTCAATGTTTGCTTGTCAAGAAAAGATTTGATTTCTCCATTGAATGGAAACTTAATTTTGCAAGATACAGAATTTTAGCTTGGCAGCTGTTTTGTTTGAGTAGATTGAAAGTGGGCACCTACTATCTTCTGACTTCTAAAGTTTCAGCTGAGAAGCCCACCGTACCTTGAGGGGTTTTGCCCCTGTAGGTCAGCTGCTGCTGAAGCCTGGCTGTTTGCAGAGTTTTCTCCTGCATTTTGACTTTGGCCAGGTTCGTCACAACGTGTCTAGGAGATTTTCTGTTTGAAAACAAGGCAATCCAACTTTCAGTATTTTTCTAGAAGGGGTTTGTCTGAATCTTTGGCAATGCTTGAGACATTTTTGGTGATTCCTCCAGGAGGGTTTCCATGCCGTTTGATCTCTCTTCTTCACAGGGATGCCTATCATGTTTATGTTTGCACGCTTCATGTAGCCCCATGAAGAGAATGCTGTCCTTTTACTCTTCTCTTCTGACTCATTAAATGCCTGAATTAGCTCAAGAATCTTGTTTTCAAGCTCTGTGATTGTTTCTTCTCCATGGTTTAAGCTGCTGTTAAAACTTTCTATTACATTTTGGAGCTCTCTGAATGACACCTTTCCTTTGTTAACCTCCGTTATGTAGTTTCTCATTTTCTTAAGTCTTTCATTCATTTGTTGAGTCAATTTTTGGATTTCCTTTTGGTGGCTTTCCACTTAACCTCTGTTGTAAATTCTAATTTTGTTATGCATTTCATTCATTACTTGGATCAATTTTTGGATTTTTGGCTTTCCACTTCCCTTCAATTCCCTTCATTTTTCCCAGTCAGACTCTGAATTCTCTTTCTGTCACTTCCAGGAGTCCTTTATAGAAGGGCAGCTGAATCATGGTAACTGCACAGTGAATCTTTAGGGGAGTGATTTGCTCTAACTTTTCGTATTCCCAGAATTCTTTTGTTGGCTCCTTCTTGTCATATCTTGTTCTTTATTTCCTTCCTCTACTTATTCTCATGCTTCCTAGATCCCTTCAATCTTCTTCCTCTCTGTGCTTTGATGTTGAAGTGGCCTTTGGAACAGGGACAAAAAACAGAGAAAAGAGAATGAGAAAGAGAAAGAAAAAAAGAAAAAAATAGGCTGGGTATAGTGGCCCACACCAATAATCCTGACACCCTGGGAGAGTGAGGCAGGGGGCTCAACCCACCCCAGGATTTTGAGATAATCTCAAATAACAGCAAATTCCCAAAGTAGAAAAAAATCAGCCATGGGTTTTGGCAGGGACTGTAGTCCTAGCCACTCTGGAGGCCAAAGCAGGAGGGTCTCTTAAACCCAGGGGTTCAAAGCTGCTGTGAGCCTGGCCAATACCACAGCACTCCAACTCAGGCCTCAGAGTGAGATTCTGTCCAAGAAAAATAACAAAACAAAAGAAAATGGAAAAGAGAACAAAAAATTTAGTACTAAAAAACATATTGTATGGGCTCAGCACCCATAGCACAGTGGTTAGGGTACTGGCCACATACACCAAGCTAGAAGGTTCAAACCCAGCCCGGGCCAGCTAAACAACAATGACAACTGCAACAACAACAAAAAATAGCCGGGCGTTGTAGCAGGCACCTGTAGTCCCAACTACTTGGGAGGCTGAGGCAAGAGAATCACTTAAGCCTGAGAGTTTGAAGATTGCTGTGAGCTGTGATGCCATAGCACCCTACTGAGGGTGACATAATGAGACTATGTCTCAAAAAAAATATTTATATATATATGTGTGTGTGTGTGTGTATAGTATGAATACCAGTGGATGCCCCATGATAAGGAAAAGAAAAAAGAAAAAAAGATAACACTAGGTAGCATTCCTGGACAGAAAAAAAAAAAAAAAACTGTATCTGTTTCTGGTGTGGTAGAGGCAGAAAGTTACTACCTACCTGTAATGGAGAGCTGGTCTTATTTTCCTGACATTTTTTATTTTAATCTGGGCCTGGTAGCTGAATGAGAGTTAAATCCCAGGAGGGCCAGGGGAACTAATGTCCTGAAGCTTACCCCAGACTTTCTGAGGGACACCCTAAGCTATCCAAATACTACTTGGTGGGTGCAAGAGGTTGTGTGTGGGAGGCAGGATCTCCCCTTTTGGGCCCACATTTCTGTGGACGTCAACCCAGAGATGGTTGTCCTAACCTAGAAGTCGGAGTCAAAGCCAATTCACACTGAAATCTTAGAAAGCTGCTCCAACTGGACCACTTTGGGTGTGAGCTGCCTCATGGTTTCAGTAATCTTTGCTCCCTTCCTATGGCTCTCTGAAGGTGGCAGGATGCCTGGCAGCCAGAGTTTCCTCTGGTATAAGCTACAGTCTAAACTCACCCAATGCCACTCCCATAAGTGTTAGGGTTCAAGCCTGTGGCTCTGTGCCAAAGAAGCAGCATGCACTCTCTCCAACCCCCTGCCCAAGGGCCAGCTTCTGTGACTCCAGAGTCCTGTGAGAAGGGTAGTGTGGAGGAGGGAGTGAAGAGAGGTTGATTAATGGGTACAAAAGCAGAGTAAGATGGCAGAAATGAGACCCAGCATTTAGTAGCACAATAGAGTGACAGTCTTTACTACGCTGGATGGGGTGGCTCATGCCTGTGGCAGAATTGCTTTAAGCCATGAGTTCAAGACCAGCTGGGGCAATACTGAGGCAACATTCTACAAACAAGTTTTTAAAAGTTAGGTGAGCATGCCATTAGCATCTGTAATCTAAGCAGGGTGGGGGGGGTTGGGGGGAAGGGTGAAGCAGGAAGTATGTTTGAGCCTAGAAGTTTGAGCTTGCAGTGAGCTATGACAATGCCACTACACTCTAGCCTATATAAAGTGAGAACCTGTCACAAAAAAAAAAAACTTTAATACAATGATGTATTATCTATTTCAAAATAATGAGAAGATTTAGTCTAATTTAGAACATTCCCTACAAAAACAAATGATAAATGTTTCAGGTGATGGATATCCTAATTAGTCAGATTGGATCATTATACATTACATACTTATATCAAAGTATCACATGTACCCCACAATTATAGACAATTATTTTGCATCTGTAGAAATTAAAAATAAATTTAAAATAAAATAATAAAAAGGTTGGGGGAAAGATGGAAAATGCCGTCTATGAAAGAGCCCTAGAAGGAGAGCAAGACCTGGACAGTGTGGAAATTCTACCTCTGTGTGTAGGACCCACCCTCTGTGTGTAGGACCCATGACACCCAGGGCCACGTGTCAACCCCTGTGATCACAGGTTCTACTAGGACAAGGTTCTACTGAAGGGACAAGGACATTAAGGAATGTGAGAATAACCGTGCCGATTAGCGACCACAGAAAGTCCATGATGGACTGCACACCGACTGGGCACACTCAGCTCCTCATGGCCTTTAACTGTCCCCACCTGCAGCAAACTCAGCACAGAAAACACACAGATTCTGGAAGGTTCTCAGGTCTTCATTTTATTTCCCCTCTTGCCGCTCTCATGGGAAGAATTTGAAAAAACAAATTTATATTCAAATTCCTATTTTCAGTAGGGAAGCAACTTAGCACACCATGAAGTTCAGACAGAGATGGAGACGTCCCACCCCCACCTCTCTGCAACAGCAAAGATGATCAGGAAGGGACACAGGTCAGTGTGGGAGAAAGGGTCACCATGGACAGAGGGGAAGGCTGCCTTCACCACTCCTCACATTAGACAAACAGGGATGCAGAATCATTCAGAAGCATTTGCAGAAGTCAGAGGCTCTTGAAGTCACAAAGGAGAGGCATGAACACTAGTCCCACACAAGGCAGCTGTCTCAGGCTAGAGAAAAAACTAAGGAACAAAATGAGATTAGTCACAGCTAGTGGTGACACTGAACAGCCCACCACACACTCACAATGTCCCATCAAAGAACCCCCATAGCCCAGTTGTGTCTCCTCTGTCCCAACCCACCCTCCTATCATACCCCCTGGGTCTCACTTTTACAAGCTGTGAGAGACACATCCAATCCCTGGGCATTGTCACTAACTGGGGTAGAACAAAACAGGACCTGGTCAGAGCCCACAGAAAATGTGACTAAAGGAGAAACTATGTGACTGGGAGCTCCACCATGGACTCCTGTCTACACTATCTCAAAGATCAGAGATCACCGCCCCCATACTTACTTGCAGCTTGAGTGTAGTTTCCTCTTTTTCTACCTGTGGGAAGAAAATGCTCTATGAGATGCCAGGCAGGGCCATGAGGTCCTAGAGCACCAGTTTTCAACCTCTGGGTCACAACCCCTTTGGTGATCAAACGACCCTTTCACAGGGGTCGCCTAAGACCATCCTGCATATCAGATATTTACAATTCATAACAGTAGCAAAATTACAGTTATGAAGTAGCAACAAAAATAATTTTACGGTTAGGGGTCACCACAACATGAGGAACTCTATTAAAGGGTCACAGCATTAGGAAGATTGAGAACCACTGTCCTAGAACCCCCTAGTTTTGGATCGCAGGGTAGAAGAGATTCCAACCACAGCTTCCAGAACTCTGACTGAAGACCCAGGGGAGGATCAGAAATCACAGGAGAAGAAAGAGTGTGGATCAACTGCCCTCCTGGAGGTCTGTCCTGAGCACAGTTCCTTCCTCTCTGACCTGTGACTGCTGGGGATCAGGTCCCCATCACCATAATCATCACGTTAAAACTTTCCTTCACTGTCACATATGCTATACAAGACAATTAACTGTTGGCACACAGGGCCCTGGCAGGGGAAGCAGGTGTGTGTGGATAGAACTTCCCAGTAATGGGACAGGGCACCATGCTACCTGGGGTTGAAACCCCAGTGAGACAAAAAAATGTAGACCCTGCCCCTCACCCCTTCCCTACCTGAGCTCTTCTTCCTCCACATCACAACCACAGCTCCAGTCAACAGAGTTCCAAGGAGAACCAGGCCAGCAACCATGCCCACCATGAGCATGCTGGGCTGGGAAGCAGCACTGAGAAAGGACAGAAAGGTGAGGGGCCTGACCCTAGGCCTCAGCCCTGACACTGCTAAAGAGCTCCAGAAACACCCCCCTGCTTTCCCTGAGAAGAAACAAGATGCCCCTCTCCCCCCTTACCCCATCTCAGGATGAGGGGCTCTGGCAGCCCCTCATGCTGCACATGGCATGTGTATCTCTGCTCTTCTCCAGAAGGCACCACCACAGCTGCCCACTTCTGGAACGTTCCATCTCCTGCAGGCCTGGTCTCTATAAGCTCCATGTCCTGAGTCTGATCCTCCCCATCCCGCTGCCAGGTCAGTGTGATCTCTGCCGGGTAGAAGCCCTGGGCCCAGCACCTCAGGGTGGCCTCATGGTCAGAGGTGGGGTGGTGGGTCACACGTGTCTCTGGGGGATCTGAGGGGAAGAGTCAGAAAATTCAGGCACTTTGCATCCCTTGTGGGACACTCCAGCAGCACTCATGTGACATCCTGAGAATGGACAGGACAAATGGAGTGAGCAAAGGAGTGCAAAACCCAGACCGCAGCCTGGACACAAGGGTCTGGAATGATCTCCTACTCCTTGAAACTTCCGGTCTCTAAGAGAACAGGGGCTTCTGGTCCTGACCAACTGGAGACTGAGTGACCCGGAAGGGCTGGAATCAGACCTCCAAAAACACTGAGTGGGGCAGAGACCAAGGTCTGAGAAAAAAAGGTCATGGTCCACAAGGCTGCTGCCCGGTCAGAAGGAACCGCTGACTGGTATTTAAGGGACTGTCTGTCACCCCTCCCTCCTCCCCCACCCCGTTCCCTCGGAGACTTCATCCCTTAACTGTCCCAGAGGGAAGGCCGGGCCCTCAGAATCACTCTCTAGTACAGGATCCGGACACTTAGGGGGCGCCTTCCTGCTCTGAACCCGAGCGTCGGGGCCATTTTCCTTCCCTCCTTGTGCACCGGGAGCCCGAATTATACAGGAGATATGGGAGGCGCCCCTCCTACCCGCGCGCTGCAGGGTGTCCTTCCCGTTCTCCAGGTATCTGCGGAGCCAGTCCACACACTCCTCCTCCAGGTAGGCCCTGTCTCCCTCCGACGCACCCTCCGCCTCCCACTTGCGCTGGGTGATCTGAGCCGCCGGGTCCGCCGCGGTCCAGGAGCGCAGGTCCTCGTTCAGGGCGATGTAGTCGGCGCCGTCGTAGGCGTGCTGCTGATACCCGCGGAGGAGGCGCCCGTCCGGCCCCACGTCGCAGCCGTACATCTCCTGGAGGGTGTGAGACCCTGGCCCCGCCCCCGCGGTCAGCCGCGCCCACCGGCCCCGCCCCGCCCCGCCCAACTCGGCGGAATTTTGTCCTAAACTAAGGTGACCAGAAGTCCTGCTTTTGGCGGGACAGTCTCGATTTCTAACAATTTGTCCCGCGTCCCGGGGCGTTTTACAAATGTCCCGATTTTTGGAAAGAATGCACGAATAGGTGGGAGAACAGGAAGGGAATATACGGTTTTCAGCAGCCATGTGGCTATTTCGCCAGGATATGAGTTTTATTTTTGTTAATTTTATAATGTTAAACTGTAATAATAACAAATAATTGTTATGAAGTGATTATCCAGAACTGCTTATCAAAGTTTGCGTAGTTGTC